AGTCCTAGTAAGCTAGGAAAAGTGTTAGCATGTGCTAGTGTAAAGTACATCGTTAGAATTTTCGGTGACAAGTGACTTGGTCACTTCAAGATGGATCTTAGAGCAGGCATGAATCAGTGTGGACGATAGTAGTAGGGCCCCTGCTATCAAAAACACAGGAATCACGCCCAAGTCAAGAGAATTCACGAGGGAACCCAAAGAACTGAGTGTAGTAATGTTCACATGGTTATATGTTTATTATTAAGTTATAGTGAGCTTAAGTTTGTCCCATTCGATTGAGGAATGGTGTCTATGAGAAATGGTGCTACGTGATCTCCGACTGGACTGAGTGCCAATGTGATACTAGAGATGATTACGACGGTGCTACCGTATGCTTTTAGGATTGGTGATTGGTTATACTAGTGTGCGAGTAGGTAGAGAATAGTGTAATAGTAACACTTTAATATGTGGTGATAAGGTATATGTTTATTCTAAACAGAATGCCAACTACATGACATGGATATAGGAGCTCAGGGATCGGCTTGGTCAATGGGTCCTACGTGATTGGATTGATGTTAAGGTCTCTTAAGACCTTACGAGAAGAGTTGCCTAGTATCATTAGACAAATCACTGATGGGTTGGTTATCTGGTTTGAGAAGTGGGTTGCAGCCATTCAGACTACCAATAGGATAATGCAAGCATCGCAAGGGAGAGAGAGTTTCGTTTGGAGGCATAGTTAGGGAAGCGTAAGTGGGATTATGGCCCAACTATGTTAATAACTATCAAGAAGGTTTGACTTTACTATGCCAAGAATTGGAGGTCAGAAGAGCCACAACATTTGTGGCAAGGGTGGGAGGACCCATGTGTTTACATATTGCAAGTCCAAATACATCAGGTACATATAGAGAGGCCATCCCCATCACGATTTCATATTGGAGATGAAGATATGTCACTATGGTCATCATTATGATCACACTAATCGAGATGTTTCTAGTATATTTTCTTCATGTTAGTATGGTTATTTTGTCCTAACTACAAACGTTCGGGTATGAATAGCTAGCCTTGTAACATTTAAGCCTAACCGAGTTGGGAAGTTATACGAATAAGGTGCATAGCCTTAGAATTAGTTTCGATTGTCTATTTGATCTTGTATTATGCGTGAATGATTAAACCAATTTTGACTGGGGAACGAGTTGCTCCCATGAAAATTTACATTTGGGAGGGATTTGATGTTGTGGTGGGAGTTTTGAAGCATCTTATGAAGTTAAAGGTGGCTAGTCAACTTGACTCCGATAATGATGCGACAGTGAAGATGGATTTTGAGGACACGGTTGATTCTTAGTTTATTTAACATCACAAATGGGTCTAGTTCAAACCCAAGTAGTGGAGTACAATTAGTACAAGGTGATGACGTAGTTAGGGCATATCATTATGTCTACTCATAAGCACTCGTGATGGATATGTGCATCAATGTAGAAGAGAAGATAGATGAGAATGTGTCGATTGTATAGGAGTATATAGGAGTTTTCCTTGAGAAGCTCTGAGATCTTTTCATAAATTAAAAGTTCTACCTAGTTCCATATTATGCATAGTCACGTACAATCTAAACCTTATGGTCCATTTAAGATAATTAGGGTTCGTTCAGTCAATAACAATATTAACTGTTCATTGGATCCCAAGTGGGGGAGAGTTACCCATATAGCAAACAGTTTAACGACTGTATAGACCTCGGTATAATAGGGAAGACTTAAGTTAGCTACTGTAGATTTTTGAAAGTTCTAGTCCTATCAGGCCACAAGTAAAGGGAAAAGGAAGTACATAAAAAAACTCTTTGAGATGGACGATCCGATTCAAGAATGGTGTATCACTACCACCTATTATGTATTCAAGAATGTTGCAGGTTTATTCATATTTAGCAGGTGTAGCTTATTTGAGTAAGTTTTCATCAAATGTTTCGAGTCATGAACATTGATTCATGTATTAGGTATTTGAATAGGCTCTAGTTTAGGATCGTGGTGAGGGTCTCATTGCACGTTCTTGTATGATCAAGTCTTGGATATTCAAGATATGGTCTAAAAACCAAATAGGTTTAGTTTCCCGGGGTTCGATATTTCATTTTGTTTTTTATTACTATTGCAAGGGGATGTTGGGATGATGGTTTTATACCTATAGGTCCATTAAGGTTTCATCGTAAGCCAAATTGGCTCTTTCGGGATGATATCAAGACCGACGAGTTGTCGTGAGCTAAAGGAATAGTAATAAAAAAACCTATAAGTTTATGGGAGGATGGTCACATGTCTATAGACCCACAATGGTGAGTTGTGAAATTACAATTGGTAGGAATTGTATGCATGATTAGACTAGTTAGTTTGATTTTCTGGTAATTGTTTAATGATGGTACCATGGTGAACAATTCGATGCGTGGTATGAGACCTAGGGTGCAAAGAGGAACAATATAAGAGTATGAGTTGGACATATCAATGGAAGATTCTTAGTCAGTGTATATGATACACCTTGTCCATGTAGTTGGAAGTGTTGATTTGTCAGAAAGATAGCTTGAGTACTAGGAGTTATATGGATAAGTGTCAGAACCATTGTCTCTGTTGAGATGTTGGAGAAGCATTGATCAAACAATTGCTTTATTTGGGAGTGGTGGAGTTATTATTAAAGGGTTAGTTAGTTTTGTACACCAAGAAGCAGTCATTGTCCGCCTTAGAGAGTTAATATTGGAAATTTCAGACCATAAGTTTCAGATTTACAGGAGTTTGTAGGAGTTAAATTATGTTATTAGTCATGTACTGTTTAGGATTTCGATTGCGAGATACCTTACTATTCTGATAAAGTAAACGCAATTTTTGATATGCTTAGTCGGATGTAGACTGATGAGCCACTTCGGGAGTTGTGTCTATGAATGACAACGTTTGTTCATCTGTTGGAGTTGAGGGAGAGGCTACAGGGAGTGACGTTTCAGGATGAGGTGCCAAATACATGAGAGATTCAAGGGATGTATCAAATGTTGATCCAGATGAACAAATTAATTAGTAATGATATAGTCAAATTTGTGTTACTACTCTACAAGTAAACAAGTAGACATCTACATTTAGAAGACCACCATTTGAATTATTGTATGGTAGTTGTATGGTAAGAAGTGCAGGATGTCCACATGTTGGGGAAAGTTTGGGCATCGAGTGCTGGGGAATATAGATAATCGTGCTTATGATAAGCGAGTTAGTTCCGATGATGGAAGAGCGGTTGGCTACGGGGTGGGGTCGAAATATGAGTCATGTCATACAAATGAGTGGATCGGTTTTGTAAGAGATGAAATAAAGGACATCGGGGATAGGCCCATACCATATTTTTTTCCATTGAGGAAGGTATCATATCTTATGGTTTACATATTTTCAGATGGTTTAATTACTTTGTAAACACGGTTGTTGTTCTGGAGAGAAATGCAAGATTTTGCAAAACAAAGAAATCGGATTAGAAAAAGTTTAGTTGCAGCATCAGAAAGGTTTTGATTGTACCTAAGAGCCGGAATTGGAATTGTGAGGTTATTTTCTTTTGAATTGATTCGCTAGTAGTGACTTCGAGGACGAATCTAATTCAAGTGGGGGAGAGTTGTAACACCCCGATTTTCGGTATTAGTTTTTCTTCTAAATAATAATAATAATAATAATAATAATAATAATAATAATAATAATAATAAAGATATGAGTTTGGACGTTTAGTAACTAGTTTCTAAAAAGAATGACTGAAATTGGCAGCTTTGAAACTTATTAGTGGAATTGAAATTGTTTTGAGAGTAAAAACTGTCATTAATATAATGTTGAGGGTAGGATATGTCACTACTAAAAAAAGGCTTTTCTTGACAGACGAATTACGACATATAGCAGTTCTATGACAGGCATAAAACTCTGTCATAAAACTTATGTCATATATTGTAAAATTTCTATGATTCACGACAAACAGAAATGTCTGTCATTAATTTATGTCGTATTTTAAAGAGTAAATCAAATTGCTTTTTATCCTTTAATATTACAAGAAAAAGTTAAAATTAAAAGGATACATAATGTAACTTAATAGAAAAATGTTTTTGAAAATTAAAATTCAATCCAAAGAAATCTAGGAATAATTAAAAATTTTAAGATAATATAGAATAATTTATTATATAGATATTATCTTAAATATTATATAATTTTAATATAGGGTATTTTTGATAAAGTTTGATAGAAGCTATATAGTCGATATTTGTTAAAAGACGCAAGGAAGAAAAAAAAGATGTACGTTTTAATTATAGTTGTCGATGACTATCTTGACTATGTAAGGAGAATGCTACGAGTGTCATCCTATAGATAAAATGACTATCTATTTAAAATATGTAAAACGAAAAAAGGTACTATGAAAATGGAGGATGGTCCATAAGTTGTCTAAATTATATTGAAATCCTTTAATATATATCCAAAACAGTCAACTAAATAAATAGTTACATTTTTTTACATGGAACCTATATTGATCCATTACTTAACTCTTTTAAAAATGCACAAAGAAATGTTCCAAAAAAAAAAGATATGACTTATAAAATAAAGGAGTAAACTAGGGTCACGATGAAATTCACTTTTGCAACTCATATTTCCATAGACTATATATCTTCCTTTGAAGAATATATCATATCTCAAGGGACTGAAAAGGGAATGAAAGAGAAATAAAAGGGTAGTATCGTATATTGTAAGATTGGTGGGGCTTCTTATTGTAACAATTCACTGGAAGGCTCAGACACGGTGATACCCTCAAATCTCGTATTACCATTCAAAATCACCTCACCATTTCCATCAAATCAAATTAAGCATCGATCGATTAGTGTTGCCCCGCTCAAGAAATAAACTCGTTGCCTTGCTATTTCCATCCTCGTTCACCACTCGCCGAATTTCCACTACCCCATTGGTCACGCCATTGTCATTCCTTCCACCGATTCGTGAATCACAAAGGCTTTTGCTTTACAGTTTGAGTAAGAATTGTAAGCAATGGAGGTCGTCGTACCTATTGTTGATGACGGGAAGGCTCGCAGCGATATCTTGCTTTTTAACCGCCGGACCTACAATGACATTCAGGTTATCTTCTTAGCCGATTAATCCAAATTCACTGGTATCAGTAGATGTTTGTTTGTGTAAAGTGTTTCAATATCCATGCTTCCTGTTAATTTCTTCAATGGTTGTGTGAAATGAAGCTCAATGTATTGTGATTCTAGCTCGCGAACATCAATCTTGATCTGGTTGATTTAGAATAATATGCGAATTCTGTAAACAGGTTCCTGATCTTTATGTACTGCTACTACATCAAAGCACCCAATCTACATGCCTCATACAACTGGAAGGTACCAAGCAAGGAGGTTCACGAAGGCTCAATGCCCAATTATGGAGCGATTAACTAACTATCTCATGATTCATGGGAGAAACAATGATAAAAATCTCATGGTTGTTTGCATATTCAAACATGCAATGGAAATCATCCATCTGTTAACCGATGCTAATCCCATTCAAATCATCGTAGATGTTTTCATCAACAGGTACACAATCAATCACCTTCTACAGTTTCACTCTACGTCTTTTCAACCATCCTTACATTTCCAGTAGTATCTCGGCATGTGATGAAGCAATGGATAATCTTTCATCTCGGCCTGTGATGAAGCAATGGATAATTTTTCATCTCCTTAATTTCATTAATATGGATATTAGTTACTACTAACACATACTTCATTTTGGAATATGCAATTAGTGTTTTTACTTATTAGCTTTCCTGATTTAATGCAACCTGACATTTGACATTTCTTACAGATTATGGATTTGGAGTAGTCAATTCAAAGGTGAAGATAATCCATGTGACTGGAGTAAGTGACATGGATCCTTAGTTCCTTACAAATGGTCTAAATCAAAATGGAGATGCATAATGGTACTTCACATGTCAACCTCATAACTAGTTTTATTATTTTATACTTTCATTCTTTAAATTTCAAAACCATTTCAACAGGTGAGGTAGGATGAAGATGTTGGTAACAACAATCGTGAATGAATCTCTCAATGAGAGATTGATCTTTCGGGTGTATCTGTCCCACTTTTAAGCATTCATCCTTCTCTAAGATTCCAAAAACTCCGGTCCTCTACAACTGACACAGGTCCTCTGCAACATTAAAACCAATATTAAAATTAGTGTAAACTATTTTAATCATATTTATTATACTATTTGAAGATGTATGTTTTTGCAACTGACAGGTTCTCTGTAACATTCAAGTGTTTACAAAAGTGATGCCTTCTCTTTTTGCTCCAAATTTTGAAGACATCTTTACAAACACTTCATATGCATATTAAGTCAAATCTCTAAAACCTGAGATCCTTTCTTCCATTACTATAGATGAATCAATCTCAGTTATCTTTCAAGAATTGCAGGTAGTTTTATTAATATATTTTAAAAAAAGATTGGATTGAATATAATTTGGGATCTAAAACCATCGAGTTATGTTTGAATATTCTATAGTGCATGTGTATTGGAAATCTCAATTCTCACACTCCATTTTTTCCTTAATAGTTTAATATCCGGCTCCATAATCCCTTATTTCTTCTTCTCCCTCTTAATTCTCAACGCAGAAAAGAAAATAGTACTTGTTTGGTGGCACTGGGAACAAATGATGGTAAAGTCTTCACCATTAGTGCCACTTCTACAGAGTTAAAATGGAAATCTTCTGGACATTATCATAGGTATGCTAGGAAAAATAATAAGATGATATGATCATAATTTTCTGATTATTGATGGTTAAAATAACCAAATTTGGAGTAATACCTGAAGCTCAGAACTTTTCCATGTGCAGTAGAATTGCTGCTCTTTCTTTTGCAAACAAAGGGTGTAAACTTTGTGCTATAAGTACAGATGGAACAATATGTGAAATGAACTGTTGGAGGCAATGGGTGGCTCTACCGAACCTGATGTTGTCATTGCTACAAAAAGAATGCTGCCCTTTTGACTGCCCGAGACCCCTCTGCTATTCCTTCTATTTGTCATGTTTCTGTTGCCCTTCAATATCCTGCAGGTGTGTGTGTGTGTTTGTGTGTGTTAGAGTGATGTGAAATTACTAAATGCTTGTCAAGAATGTCTGACGTGTGTCGTGTATTTATGTCGTAATTGTGGGTCATAAATGTTTGTCGTAAAATTTTGGACAGGCCAAATGCATGTCATTATCCTTTATGACATGGCTTTCAATGACAGACATTTGTCTGTCATGTATAGGCATTTACGACAGACAATGTCTGTCAAGGAAAGCCTTTTTTCTAGTAGTGTGTAAAATTCGGATTTAACCATGAGATGGATGTGTTTGAGGCATTCGGCTGAATTACTATTGCTAAAACAATACACAAGCAAACCCTTGTAGCCCATGAAAGATTTAACCATGAGATAGACGTGTTTGAGGCCTTCGGCTTAATTACTATTGCTAAAACAATACACAAGCAAACCCTTGTAGCCCATGAAAGATTTAACCATGAGATAGACGTGTTTGAGGCCTTCGGCTTAATTACTATTGCTAAAACAATACACAAGCAAACCCTTGTAGCCCATGAAAGAAAGTAAGGCGAGGTGTGTACGTTTGCGTGTATTGTGTCGTGTATACCCTAGGCCGAGAAGAAGAAAGAATAGGGAAAGAAGAAAGAAGGAGGGGTGAAGTCATATAAGGTTATAGGAGGAAGAGGGGTTTCTTAGTGATGTCGATTGGTTCGAGTAAGTCTCATATTTCATTCAACTTCTTTTCTTTCTTTGGTGTTATGTGCAATTTTCGGAACAGCCATCTGTCCCGAACTTGCATACCTGTTTATGTAAAATAGAGGCCAAATCACTAGAGATATAACTTGTTGGAAATTGTGTCTACTTTCCAGGGATACCTGATTCGAATGATTTGGGGCTACGGTTGAGGAGTTATCGCCAAAACACTCAGCATGCATCAAAATGTCAAAAACCGTAAAATTTTCTCTTTTAAGCAATGTACTTTGGAGTGTGGGATTTGAATTTTTATTGGATTTTTTACTCAATGGGTTGTCACTACTGTTAATGATTGTTTCCAGAATATCAGCCACTTTGGGTTAGGTCTTAATGCGTTAAGGAACAGAATAACCCAAATTAATCAAAGCTGGAATTGTTGGAAAAATGACTAATATGTCTCTGTCTTTCAAAAATCATATATTGGTAATGAAAAACTATTTTTCGTCGAAATCAGTTCACAAAGTTTCGTATGTGAGTTCTCTACACTTCATTGGTTTTGACCAAAAATCAGAAAGGCCTCTAACTAGGGTATAAACGACCATTTACCCAGACTGGTGCAGAATAATCTGTTATGCGAGACAGTTTTGTAAAAGTCTCTATAAATCGTAGAAACATCGTATGGAGGTGTGTGAATACTACTTTTACAGCTAATAACCTAATTTATCATGCTGCGATATAGTTTTGAAAAATATGAAGTTTAAGGTGGTCAAAACAGGTCACGAACAGACACTAATTTTTATATAGAAATCTGGAAAAATTACCCATTAGATATATTCATAATTAAGGCAATTTAATAACTAAAACCAACTCAATTTATTAGTATTAGGAAGTGTGACGGGCAAATAGGTGCGAGTGAGTTTCGGGTTGCTTTGGAGGCTGCTTTGTTTTTGGAGGTGAGTTCCTCACTACACCATGTTGTGTTATATCTTCTTTACATTTAGCTCATGTGTGCTCTGTATTGTATTGTTTATGTGGGTATTACTAGGTGCGGTAGAGTCTAGTGGATTGCCTCACGTATTGTTTATATGCATGGTATGACTCGGCGCATCCGAGTGGGGATCAGGCGTAGCCAATGTGTCCCAAAGGCTCGACGAAATGAGCAAGGGGGATCGAGCATGACCAATGTGTCCCAATGGGTTCGGATACGGGGGATCGGGCTTAGCCAATGTGTCCCAAGGGATTGATGTACTGAGTAAGGGGGATCAGGCCTAGCCAATGTGTCCCGGTAGGAATATGTCTGTTACTGATTTGTTCTTTGACATGTATGCGTGGTTATGTGTTTGATACCGTTTGTATCTATGTAGTGGGATAAAGATTATATGATTTGATACTGTGTATGAGTGGAAATCACTAAGCTTCGTGTTTATCTATTTTTCCTTTAAAAATATTATTTCAGGTACACCGGATGGTCAAACATGATTGTACACGCTGGCTCAAGGTGGGTTTTGGAATTGATATTGAATTGGTTATGTTTTCATAAATTTTAGAGTTTTAACTCATAATGTTTGGAATGAATTGGTTATGTTTTCATAAATTTTAGAGTTTTAACTCATAATGTTTGGAAGCAAAATTGATCTTGGGGTTTGGTATTTCATTTGTTTTGAATAAATTATATTAAATGTATGATTTATGTTATTTTAAAAAAGTTCAAATTTATTGGAAATTTTACAATGTCACATTTAAGTTCACCACCGAGGTTCTTATGTGGTGCAAATATAGGAGACGAGGAAAAGGAAAGAATTGGGTCCATAAAGATAGTGAGCCGGTGGACAGTTGCACGAGGTCTGACTCCAACACCATCGATGAGAGCCTGGAATTAGACTAATAGTCAAACAATTTTGAAATATAGGAGACATTTTGACTCATGATGTATGAGTCCTTAATGTGAACGTGGTATTAATGAATGTGTTTCCGGCTTATACTGATATAGTTACAAAAACAGTTCATTCGCTAGCGATAACAATTAGAAAAACCCAAAGTTTGAAATGAAAACTTTATCTTTTAGGATGTATTATGTTACTGTAAAGTTTAATTTATCATTCTACACAAAACTATATTGATTGCAAAAAACGTACCCAATGGCTATTTTTTACCAAATAATTTAATGAAACATATGTTCCAATTTATATTGACTTTTTTATTATAATGCATAAATTTGAAATTACAACTATTAGTTTTGTTTTGGTACATTTTATAATCTGTGGTTGAAATTACAAATTTAACACAGCATCATTGACAGGGGTGGAGCTAGAATTTTAGCGGGGGTTAAGACGTACATCGTAAAAATATAGAGGGGGAATTTTAACTGATAATACACTAATACCAATGGAGTTATGGGGGGCAAAGCACCCACTAACCCCCCCTACTGGCTCCGCCCCTGATCATTGAACCTTATTCGGCTAATATTTTTGATGCTAAAAACTATATTAAACTGATGTATAACACCCCAATTAATATGTGTTAGACCCGGTGCAGTCAATAACAATACTACCAAAAAAATAAAATATAAATAATAAGTTGTAATAGGTTCGACTAAGTTAAGTCAAGAACAATATTATTAGAAAATTACTGCGCATTCAATGCCAAAAGATTCATAATGGTCCAATTTACCATCACCGAAACCAAACTATTCTCTAGAAATAGTCTCCTGAAATATGACGCATTTTCATTTTCAACCCAACACGTCAATATACCTTCATTATAACCTAAAACAATAATATACTTTATTTGTTCAAACTTTTATAAAGTTCGGACTATTTAAATGTGTATTTTGAAAGTCATAATCAATTTGAATTTTTGATATTGGGTAAATCCAAACAAATCCATTCAAATACTCAACCGATATAATAAAAAACTACTAAAAAATCGGTGCAATAGCAACAGCTGAATTTGTAGTTATTCCGTAACTATAAGATGATAGTTACGCAATTGCTACGGGGAAAATGCATGTAACATAATGGCCCGTGGTTAAATTGTAGCTACGGAATAGCTATGGAATATCTATAGAATTTTTCGTAGCTACCATAGCTACAGAATAGCTACGGAAATAAATAGATACAGATTTTCTAGAGAATAGCTACGGAATAGCTACAGAACTTAATAGCTACGGAAGTGGATAGCTACGCAACTAAATAGCTACAGATTTTATGTAGGTAATCCATATCTAATTACTTTTTATTTACAAAAAGTAAGAAATTATAAAAATATCCAGTTTTTCTATCCAAAATATTGAAAAAACTCATTACATTAAACTTTTAATAATATGGAATTCAACTACAAAACAAATAATATTATACTAAAACTAATAAACCTATAAAAGTATAAGATACAAATACATATTACTAATGAACATTGTCTAATAATACATTAAATGTGTCTAATAATAAACATTAAAAGTGTTAACTAATGTTTAAATAAGTGCTTAAAAAATAAATTGAGAATTATTTGATGAATTGCTTGACAAATTATCGGGTAAGTTGAATCTATAAAGGCCAATAAGTGTTCTTCAAATTGAGTTTTGAATCAAAGGCCGCCAATTGTTCGTGTTTCAGCACACCATAATCAATGATATTAAAAAAAAAATACAAATATAACAGTGTACTTTTCATTTATGTAACGTACACGTTCAGTTATCGTGTATTGTAAATTATAAAAGTGAATAATATTACGAAATATTATGTAAATTTGAATGTTGAGTTCTAACAGATGGTTTTTACTTGAAATAAAGTAAAACTATATTTATAGTCACACATAAAATATTGAGAGTCTTATGAGATTCCGATGAAAAGTCAAATAGTGAAATTTAGCGAAAATATAAAATTTGAAATAAGTGAAATTTTACTATTTAAAGTTATAGAGAATATCGTTAGAAACATTTTGGAGAAAACCTTGTCGAAATCCGAGTTATAACGATGAAGTTATGACCAATCGAAGATCCGCGACAAAACCGGCACGGCGTCGAATGACATAAAAAATGAGTTTTTTATAAACTACTTTTTAGCCTAAGTAATCTAAATGAAATTTGTAGTATTCGTTAAACTGAGAAGTTCGATAAAAAGAACGCCAAAATCTGAATTTGTATGAGTAGGTTATGATTTTTCTAAGTTTCGGAATAGCAGTAGACAACTAAAAACTCGAAATAAAGATCGAGTGATATTTAGATGACACAACCTAAACGAGAATTGAAGGTCTCATCAATAGTAGTACAACGGTAAAAAGACAGACGAAAACAGACTCTGTATGAAGAAGTTACGAATTTTGAACGGATTATTCTGTACAAGTCTGTTAAAAATAATAATATTAAAATTAGATTCAAAATTAGTCGATGAAGTCTAAACAAAAATTGTAGAGCATAATTTTAGCTACGTGTGCATATAAAGAACATAAAAAAGTAGCCCGTATGCGAAAGTTATCGATTTTAGAATATTTGGGCACAATTTCCGAGAATTTTCGCATGGATAAGGTCCATCTCGGTGATTCATCGCATAACTGTCCGACGTGTGTCGCCTCCTGATTCGGCCGAAGCCGCAGCCCTATGGCCTTCCGATGCGCCTCACATCTGACTCCGAGCCGGAGACCCAACTAATGACGCGTCTAAAGACGGTGACTCTTTGCTTCCGAAGCTCGCTCCAGCTACCACGTGTACCGAGCCTCGCAGCTTCGCTGCCACCTGCCCACTCCCTCTCGCTTCGAATCCGAACCTCGACCCTATATAAGGGTTGCGAGACTTCCCGAGTAAGTTTGGATTTTTGCCACTTTTTCACCTCTTATTCCATATTTTGGCTATTTCCATTTCTCCGAAGCCCCGGTATTATTTGTAACACCCGAAACACGCCCCAAAGTGCCCAAGAAGCCCGGGAAATTTATCTTTTCGGCTTGAAGCCCTACCTTTGCAGAGCCTGGTTTTCAAGAAAGCTCCCGATTTTTATAGAAGAATGCTATTTATAGTAACGAAGTGTTGCCCAAATTACTATTTTAACCCCCAGTTACTTCAAAGTGAGTTTAATATATAGGAACAATTGTATGTTATTTGTTATATGTACTATGTGCTTTTCAATGTTATTATTCCGGGTTAGTTCCCGTGTTATTTTTATTCGCTATTTTTAATAGCAAAGAAATAGATTTGACCATGTGATCAGTGAAAGGACTTAGATTCACATTGGTACTGTTATGTAGCCTCTGGCCATGTAGAACATGTCTCCGCAAGAGAATGATTTCTATTCTATAGTGTTGGCAAATGGTTAGACAGGGCTATAAGCCTGAAATCTACCAAAATGTTAATCAGAAATTGTATGTCTTCTGTGCCATTTGGGCTGAAACTTTATTGATGTATATCAACTTTGGAAATTATTATGTCTCATTGATTGTATATCTTTGAATCAAGTCATTGATTGATATGGAAAGTTTGTCACATGATTCATATATGTCTTTGTTGTTCACTGTTCCTCTTTGCTTCTGTCATATTGAAGTATATATATGGCATAATGTTATACTGTATCTATTATTGAACTCACTAAGCATCACCGCTTACCCTCTCAATGTTTTAATATACCGCATGCAATAAGCATCCAGTATAGATTTATATTGTTGGAAGAATTAAAATAGCTTATATTATTACTTTTGTATTTAAGTTTTAGTATGTATAAAATATACAATATCATGGGTAGTTCTGTAGTAAACTTAAACTTAGTCGGTTTGTATCCAGTCGTTTGTAAATAAATTATCAATGTAAAATATTGTTTGTGAATATGCATGTAGCATTTTTGGAGTAACAACTGTTTTAATATTATGAAAGTGTGGGTCTTTCAATTTATTTGTTTATAGAGGTGAAAATATATATAATAATGTATAATAGAGGTGTGAAAAAAAAAATGAAACGAAAAAAACGACATTTGGTTCCCGAAAAATCGAAAATAAGAAAAATCCATAGCTAATTAGCTACGGAATATGCTTTCCATTAGAATTCCGTAATTAATTAGCTACGGATTTTTTTTTTTTTTTTCGATTTTTCTGGCATCTAACGTCGTTTTTTTCGCTTTGTTTTTTCACACCTCTATTATACATGATTATAGATATTTTCACCAACTTATAGCTATTAATATCATTCATAAAGTCGTATGTACATACGAGATCCATTACTTGTTTATGTTGGATATAGTGTCTAAGCCCATAATTTTATTTGGTATATACTTGACCCGACCCGGCATGGTCCATTTGGGTTACGGCATCCCTCTTCCAGGCATGACATTGCAATACTTGGATAGACAAAATGAGAGAATAAGGAACTTATGATTATTAATATATTATAAGTTCTAATATATTAATAATAGTATTATTTAATTAGTATTGGATCAAGTATTAATCTAGTATTAATTTGGTGATCAAAGTGAGACTAATTACATATATAGGGTTGATTATGATAATCATCAATTCTTTTATGGTGGATTAATGATCCATGGTTTATGGGTTTGGTTATAATCATATGGAGCTCCATGGATAGTCCATGGGAGTTACAAACCCATGGGTCATGAGAAATGAAGAGTCATGACAATTAAGAGTATTCATGTGAAAACCCTAATTGTGACAAAACTATAAAATGAACCCTTTGGCTAGCAAAATCGGCACCTAGAGTGTTACTAGAGTATTCTTGTGAGGGCATAGCTGATTTTGAAGTGTAGAAGTATTCTCTATAGTTATTCCAAGTTTTGTGGTGTTGTGTGAAGCATTTGAGGCACAACATTTGGGGTGCTAGGCTCACAAAGTCTTGAAGGAATCCAAGCAACAAGAAGGTATGTATTTCTACTAGTTTTTATGTATTATG